GTCTACCCTGAATACAACTGCGACGTGACTCCCAAAGCTTCGCTGCTATGGCGGCCTTCTACCTCCCCTCCCCTCTTCTAGATATGGATGTTTCTCTTGCAGTGGCTCCTTCTTCTCCTCGTGGCACTACCCTCTGTCCAGCCTGCGCTATTGCACAAGCAACCAGCAGTACTCCCATAACTTTGCACATGAACTTGTTCCCCTTTGCACTGTAGCAGCTATAAATGGAGAATTGTCGACTTGCTTTGCCTGCATCGGACCGGTACCGATCGCTGGTGGCCTCTGCGGCATGTTGTGTTGTGGCAGTACTGGTAGACATTTACTGACCTTCGATGCTTTGGTACCGGACTCTACTGGACTGCGAGGTTTCGGCCTGTGGACTCCTACAGGACTCTACTGACCTTGGGACTCGATCTACTGGGACCTAATGAGCCTGGGGCATCTGGGACTGGGCTCAATTGGGACTTTCCAACCGGGACTTGGGACTAATACAGTGTTAAACCCTTTCACATCCTGCCCGCCTAATTTCGAGGTCCGACGGAAAAGACTCTTTACCTATCTATCATCACTACATATACAACTATCGCTAATTTCCTGCCTGTGACAAGGACACGATCGGGGCCCTCCTATCTTTTGCTGCGCGGCGGTCCCGATCATCTGCTGATCGGTTTTTCTTAGAAGTTGAACTGTTGTACCGGTCCTGTGGTGCACCACCAGGCCCGCGTGCCGACCCTGGCATTGTGCATTACCAGGCCCGCGTGCCTATAGGGCCAGCGCCGGTACTGCGAACTGTACTGGGGCAATGCACGCGTGGAACATATAGTAACCAACTTCAGGGTACGCACTTACCCGGCCACACACCAAGCTTCTCAAAGACATTGTCGACTGGACTCTGCGCTGCTCTAAGCTACTCTACGCGTTCGACACACACACGCACACACACACACACACACACACGTGCACACATGCACACAGAATGTCGGGGTTCAACCTCCTGATGAGTCGGTGAAAGTCTGACGAAACAGTCTGGCACAGTCACGCTTTTTTTCTGACACACGTGCCACACACACACACAAACACACCATCCTCTCTCTCTCTCTCTCTCACACACACACACACACACACACACACACACACACGCGCGGACAGAAAGAGATTGTTGTTCCTAAGCTTTTGGTTGTGCTGGAGATTGGGATGTGCATCGGGAAGTGCTCTGCATCCAAAAGGTAGGACGCTGAGGCTTCGACTGTGGGATCGAGCGCACCGACATGACCTAAGTGGGTTAATTTGTGCTTTCGTATGTTCATTTCTCCTGCTTTGTGTGTGTGTGTGTGTGTGTGTGTGTGTGTGTGTGTGTGTGAGAGAGAGAGAGAGAGAGAGAGAGAGAGAGAGAGAGAGAGAGAGAGAGCACCAACATGACCCCTAAGTGGTGAATTCGTGCTTTCGTATGTTCATTTCTGCTGCTCTGTTTGTGTGTGTGTTGCATGCTGCGCCTGTGTGTGTGTGTGTGTGTGTGAGAGAGAGAGCACCAACATGACCCCTAAGTGGTTAATTCGTGCTTTTGTATGTTCATTTCTGCTGCTCTGTTTGTGTGTGTGTGTGTTGCATGCTGCGCCTGCACACGGGCCCATTTGCAGGGGCCCGACGGCTGCTGAGGGGCCCCCAGGGCGCACGGCGCAGGCTGGGCACGGCGGCCCTCTAGGCCGCAGGCACAGGGTGAGGCAACACTCACTCATTTATTTATTTATGAGGTGAGGTGCTGCCCTACTTTTGTTGGTTCAGAAACCGTTTCGGACTTGCAGTCCCGAAGGCACGGCCTTGGGTTGGGTGCACCAGACGCAGGGCCGAAACAGGCCCAGGCGCATTTTGGCGCCACGCTGCAGGGCCGAAACAGGCCCAGGCACGTTTTGGTGCCAGACTGCACCCAGCACGGTCTGGGCCCCGGTAGGGACCTCGACCGTGCAGGCCGCTCTAGGCCACACAGCGGTTCGCCCAGTAGGGCCCAGCGCACTATATAGCTGGGCCTCCTGCTGGGCACAGGACAGTTCGGTCGCTCACTTCTTGAGCGACACGCTGCTGGATAGAGTCTGCACCAGGCTGCGCTGCTGGACCAGGAAGGAGACACACACTGGAGGA